TCTGTACAGAAAGATTGCTCCCACTGTTTTATTAGATGTTCCACAAGATTCTCTCATCATGGATGAGGAGATTTTTGGTCCTTTGCTTCCGGTTATCACGGTAAAAGCCTATATAAATATGCGGCTACTATTTAAAGGAAATGAATACAGAGCATATATCATGTACACTATATTCTGAAATCTTACGTTCCCATTTATGAAGGTCCCCAAAATCGAGGAAGCTATTGGCCTGATTAATTCTAGAGAAAAACCTCTGGCCGCTTATCTATTTACGAATGACAAAAGGCTCAAGGAGGAATTCATATACCGCGTATCAGCCGGTGGCATGTGCATTAACGAGACGGCTCTGCATGTAAGTTTTCCTTTTGCTAGTGGAAATATAAACTTACAAATGAGTTGTTTTAAGAAATCAGAAAACATGCATCTGCATATTATGTTTACCCGCACGTAATACTTTTAGATAAAAGGCAAAATTGCCCCTAATATCACGATTTTTTTCTAAAAATGTAATTTCATCACGATCTTTTCACTTTTGCAAATTATATCACCATCTTCAGTTTGTTGTTGCAAAATCTGTGCACGGTTTCTGAAAACTAGACCTAGAAAAGCTAATGTGTCTCATAAGAACAAAGTGAAAAGTGAAGATTGTGATATTGTTTGCAAAAGAAAAAGGTAGCGACGAAATTGCAGTTTTGAATAAGGTCATGATATTTAGGGCAATTTTGCCTTAGATAAATCTAATCAACCTTTACCAACTCATTCACACAACACCGAATTCAACTTTTAACTTCTATTCACACACACTTTTGACATTCGACTCTCAAAAATCTTTAGCTTGCGGAGCCCTCCTTGCCGTTTGGGGGCGTGGGGGAAAGTGGAATGGGGGCTTACCACGGAAAATTCTCTTTCGATGCCTTCAGCCACAAAAAGGCAGTATTAGCACGTGGGTTTAATGGGGATATAGCTGCAAGATACCCGCCCTACACTTCTCGGAAGCTAAATCTTCTTAAAGCCATCTTGAGTGGAAATATTCTCGGTGCTATTCGTGCTTTGATTGGTTGGTAAAGGTTTGTGAAAATTTGGTTTTTACTAATGAGGAGTTACATTACACATGGTGGCTGTATAAATATAGTTCAAGAATTTCACGAATCGTTATGTATCGTGGCCAAATATGTCGAAATCATAATTGTTGTTTGTTATCCTTACATTTCAATTTGTGTGGACATAGAAATGTGTTATTCATACAAACTCTGCTTTCAGATGTGACAGAATATATATATTGAATCATCAGGCACATAACCGAATTCTATGCATATATTTCATATTCAAGATGCATGTTTGTACAGTACTGAAATCTTCCACTGTGCTATTCTGAACGGGCCCTTGGGTGAGTTTGGGCCTTCGGGCTTACTCGGGTCTTGTTTAGTTTGTTTCGGGCTTTTTCAGTGAGGATTAATTTTGAAAAAAATTGATTTAGTTAGTTTTTAGTTGGATTTTATGTGGTAAAGGCTTGAAGTAAATATTAGATATGATTGATACTTTATAAGTTAAAATATAATTGGCGAGACTTTAGAAAATAATAAAAATCATGTACGAAATTCCATTCCAAATCTTAGCTCTAGACATAATATCATGATGCACTTGATAATATGAAGTGAAATGAAGTGAAAAGGATCACGTCTTAAAATATATAAAACAAAATAAAATAATTAAGCTCAAATTATAATGGAACACGAAATGGGATTACACAGAACAAGAGTTGTCAAATGAAACGGGTCGCTTGTGAGGTTGGTTCGACTCGAGTTGTTAACACTCGAGCCACTCGGCTCGTTTGATAAGCAAGCATAACTCAAGATCATTTAAAGCTCATTTGGTTAACAACTCGATTGATAAGGCTCGTCAAGGCTCGAAAAAATAATTTTAATATAATTTTTCATCATTTCGGATCGTTAAAACTCGATTTAGGCTCAAATTAAGGCTCGAGCTTGTCTCTTTAATATTATTAACAACTCGGGTTGAAATATATATAACAAAATAAAATAATTAAACTCAAATTATAAAAGAACACGAAACTGGATCTGGATCTAACCAAACCCACACTTAGAGTTGTTAAATAAAATGAGTCGCTTGTGAGCTTGACTCGACTCGAGTTATTAACGCTTGAGCTTGGCTCAGCTCATTTCACACGCAAGCCAAAGTCGAGATTATTTAAAGCTCGTTTGGTTAATAGCTTGGCTCGATAGGTTTGCAATGATAAATTTTGATATATTTTTTAATCCTTCGGATCGTTTAAGCTCTATTTTGGCTCGAATTAAGGCTCAAGCTCGTCTCTTTATTATTAATAAATGAGTCGAGCTCGAGCTCGATTATAAGCTTATTAAGTCAATGAACCAAGCTCGGTTCGTTAAGGAGTCGAGCTCGAGCTCGACTCGGCTCAACTTGTTTACACCCTTATCAACAACACAAAAAACACGAGAATCTGCAATTTACTCAAATCAAATCATGCGCGAGAAGAAAAAAAAAAAAAATATATTACAAAGTTACCACAAATCATGCCCGAGTATCTTCAATGAAGTCAAGGAAAATGATTCTCACCATAGTATATTACAATACAATTGCAATTAGAGTCCAACATTTATCCTCTTTAATACAATTTTTTCTTCACGTTTCCACTGACCAAACCACATTTTGTGTTTTTTTTCCCAGAAACCATTTATTTTTACTCTGTTTCAGTCCAAAACAGAGTGAAATTTCAAAGTTTGTACTGTTTTAGAGTTGAATGTACGATGAACTTCGCATTTCACGCCACATTTCACTCTAATTACGTTAATTTGGTACACTCTCCACTTCATTTTAAACGTCGTTTCAGGTTAGACTTTGATAGTCTTGTGCCATCCTATATATAGTTAAAAACGGCCACAAGAAATCGAACTAAAACTAGCAATAGTCCATCACTCTTCACTATTCGTTAGCATGTATCAAAGGATAATGTACTTGAAAGCATTGGTGTGGTGCCTTTCGGCATGGATTGCTTCGGCCGCCCCATCAAAATCCGTAGTTTTCCCAGTCAAGGGAGATGTTTATCCTCGAGGGTTAGGCACTTTATACTCGCGCGCGCTCATGTTTAACATAAAAAATTCGATTCTTACAATAGTACTTATTACACGCTCGACTCGCATTTCGCTAATTCGTAGTTAATTTCCTTATACATCATTGTTTTTTCGCGCATAGGTTATATACCGCAGCAGTAACACTCGGCGCAACCAAGAAAACCTACTTACTTGATATAGACACTGGCAGTGATCTTACATGGGTTCAGTGTAATGTTCCAAGCGCGAAAAACCATCGTGTACGTAACCTCTTTTTATAATTTTTTTTTAGGAAATCGAATCCGTTTAGAAATTTGCACGTCGATCCTTCTAAATTGTTATCTCTTTCTTGCAGGCTCCTAACGCTCCTTACACGCCCGTGCCTGCGCAAGTAATCCCGGCAGCTAATCCAATGTGTAACGCCCTTCAACCGATTTCCGGGATAAAGAAGCCTCCGAACCCGAAGCGGTGCGATTACTTGATTAAGTATGCGGACGGGTCCTCGACCCAGGGCATGCTTATTTCCGACACGGTCAATGTTCAGTTTACCAATCGCACCGTCGCGCCCCTTCCATTCGTCTTTGGGTAATTCCCACTCACTTCTCTATCACTACAACAATAAAATGATGAGATTCTAATGAATATTAATTCCGTTGGAATCTTACGGCGTAATTCCTATAAAGATATTTTGTTGGAATGAGTTTTATTATAATTGTATTTTTAAGATTGTATTTTGAAGCCACTAACTTAAAATATTTCTATTTTTGCCAAGTAACTTATTGAGGTCCAAAATTGGTCCCACTAACTTTAAAATATAAAAGTTATTTGACCAATTCCAACCAAAATAACTGCAGAACTTCGACGTTCATGATCAAAATTTGACCAAATTGACTGAAATTGAAGAGTTATTTAACAAACTTCGGACTCCAATAAATTACTGCGCAAAAATGTGGAACACCTTAAGTTTGTGGACTAAAAGTGCAATTTCAATTTTCCATTAGAATTTTTGTAGGACATTGATCATTTAAATGATAGATTTTCCAAATAGTTGAAATATGATTTTTTTTTAAAAAAAAAACAAAAAATAAAAAATCTAACGAAAGTTGCATATTTCCAATAAAAAAATGCTCGTTGCAATCATCAAATTCCAACCAAAAATTCCAAGCAAAGTATGACTCCAATAAAATATTATAGTGTTCGATCTCCATTGGAATATTTTTAATGTTGGATTTTCCATGATAAACTGTTTTGTAGTGTATCTCATCACTTTTCAGATCGCCGATAAAACCTTAAGTACTCGACCAATTTACTTTGTTCTCTATTTTATGTCCCAATTTTTCATAGATGCGGTTATAACCAGATTTCCGGGTCGAATCCGCCACCAAACGCTGACGGTATCCTCGGCCTCGGCAAAGGCAAGACCACCATTTTAGCCCAACTGGGACAAATGGGCGTGACACGGAACGTCGTGGCCCACTGTTTTAGTAGTAATGGTGGTGGCTCCCTTTTCTTGGGAGAGCTTCCTCCTACTCAGGGGGTCGTATGGATGCCTTTATTGACCAAATCGTAAGTCATTCGTGTACATTTTACGTGATCGAACCAAATGAAAACATCGACTATACCGAGTAAAAATGTCATTTTTTCTAAGCCTCTTTTTTTTTTTTTTTTTTGTATGATGAAATGCTAAAATTTCAGAGCCAACTACTATTTGGGAAAGGCAGCATTGGTGTTTGGTGCCCAAACTGCTAATGATATGAATGGCCTTGACATAATTTTGGACAGTGGAAGTACTTACACTTACTTGGCTTCTAAACCCTACAAAGCTCTTCTTTCTCTGGTGAGTTTCAAGTTGATGGTGGACTTTCACTCTTGCATGTAAATAATAAAGATTGACAGAGATAAATTTGAAAGTGTTGAATTAATATAAGATAAAAATTATAATGATTAAAGTTGATGTGATATAAAAGTAATAAATTATAAATTTGACTAGATCCCCTCTATATATAATTCCAGAATGCGCTGAACCTACGTGGCTGCTTTTAGCGCTTCGGAATCCTACTTGGCGAAGAATCATGCTTCGTAATTAGGTTTGGACAAATAATATTGATATATTAATAATTAATAATCTAGGTTCGGACATTCCATAAATATTATTTAGCTAACTTAGGTATATTAATATCACTTGTACTAATATAACCCTTTAATTATTTATAATTTTACATAGTGAGACACTAAATGACTAAAATATCATTGACTTTTGATTTGTTTCCTTCAATTAGCTATTGAATTATAAATGTATTTTAAAAGTTGATAACTTTTGTATTTCTTATTGGTTTTACATATATAATATATCAAATTAATCATCTTTTCATGATCTTCGATTTGACATCCATATTGTATATATCAAATAAATAAATTATATTCATCTTTATAATAATAAAAAATAATAATATTTATTAAAGTTTATTAGAAAAATAAAATTATTACTCAGTTGATATATTTATGTTTAATGTAGTTATATGTTGTAAGTTAAAAAAATTATTATAATATAACACAAGTAAGTCACACAAAACAAGTGTCATACTAAAAAATTATAATATATATATATGTTTTTATAAAAGTATTTAAATTTTTACCTATTTTTTCTCATTAATTTTAGATTTTAAGGAAAAAATTAGCAAGCACCCGTGTAATACACGGGTGTTGTACTAGTTGATAATTAAAAATATATTAGTAACCGAATTGTGGTTTTTGTAGGAAAATATATAATACTAATTACCTTTTATTTTGGAGGAAAATTGAAGTTTTGGTCCATTGTCCATTAATTTAGCTGCTTTTTT